AAAAATATTAATAACTTACATGAATTTATTCATGTTTCCGATTCAACTCGAGATAGTAAATCAATTCGGAGCCTGTAGTGCTTTATAATTCCAATGTTTTAATTTCTCTATTCGTTATTTAAGTTCATATAATAAATATTTATATTCTTCAATAACACAAATTTATTAAATAATATTTCGAGGTTTCAAAATTTAATCGAGAGAATTTGAAGAGAGATATATATACATATATTTAAAAAACTTTTATGTCATTTCAATCAAGCATCAAATGTTCTTTATTTAACTACTGTATATTTCACGAAATAGAAAGTTCCAAGACACTAAATTGGCCAAAATTTGATCAGTGTAACTTCGGTTAACATCACCCCCCCCCCCCTCCTAAGAGTTCTAAAGGTTGATGTTAACCGAAAATTAAACTTCAAGCGGCCTTAAGTTGTCGGTCTTTGCTTTAAAATCAAGTTTTGTTTATATAATTTAACTATATCCCGTAAGTCATTTTAAGGCAAAAACCCCATACCGATACGTATATTGGTTCTTACATTATAGCTTTAATATGTTTCAAGTGATTTAGTTATTGCTATAATCTATTCGCTTAAACTCGTCAAGTCTGAAGTATGTTAGACGAAACTTTAATAATTTTTGAAGCGGATTTTAATTCTGCATATTCGTTATTCTAAAGAATATATTGACATCTTATTCGTCTGTTTCGTTTTTACCTCTCCTCTCAGGACATTAGCCAAAAAATTAATTCTAAACAAAGTTTATAGGTAATTTGTTCGTTATATACATAATGTATCAGGAGTTTTTTATTTACTTTATACAAGATTTTTTAGATGACTTTTAATTAATTGAGTTGGAATTAATGCTTTTTATAGTTTTTATGTTGTCAAGTAAGTAGGTATCTAAATTTATTTGAAGATATTAATAGGTTTGTTATCTAATTATCAGCATTACTAGTTTACTGAGTCATGTTCTTTAATTATAGCAGAAATGAATTGGTTTTGAACGAATAAAAGGAATACAGAATTGTCTTTACTGAACGTCTACTTTATAAATTTAATTTTCTGAAAATTATTCGATAGCATCTATTATAGTTTATACTTATTCATCTCAACAGGATATATGTTAACACATTCTTTCCAGTCACTTTTTTGTTACAGCAGAATTTAGACGTTTATTTGATGATATAATATTATCACTTGAATAATTCCAATAGTTTCTTTTGCATGTACAGCTCCTTAAATATATTTTCAATCATAAACATGACATGCATTTAAACATAAAAGTTATATTTTACGCTATTCTTAGAATTTTTCAGTAATAGTTATTCCGATATTTAGAATTGCTATTGAATAAATTTAGTATTTCTTATATTTGCGTTTTTATTATTTTATTTATTATATTATTTTTATTACTTGGTCCACTAAATTTTATATTATTTTATGCACCCAATTTATTCCAAACCTTATTACGTATTTATCTTATTAAAATGTCCATTCTATCGTTGTTACTATGCTGAATAAAGTCTCTATCTACTTCAAATACGATAATTTATTTACGTATTATTAAACTAGATAATTATAAAATAAGATAATAATAAAGTTGAAGCGAAAAAAATAAAGTAGATAAACTTTTGAGCTTATACTTAATAGAATTAAATTGTCATTTTGATACGTAACGTATTTTGGGTAGTTATACGGTGTAACAATTATAAGGCTAAGCGTCAACAATCATAATATCTAGTGTTAGGATGCAATTTTAGACCATAAAAAAGAAGGGGAATTTACAAATAAGGGCCCAAGAAAGTAAAATAATTACATATAGAGGCCCTATTTTAATAAATTTTAACAGTTTTTACTATATCTCATGATACCGTTAACGAAATTTAACGGTTTTGATACTATTCGAATCGTCTCATTGAAACGCATTGAATGGTACCAAAATCGCCAAATTTTAATCACTGGATTACGAGTTATTTAACATTTTCTAAAGTCTATTTAAATCGTAATATCTTGTTATACCGTCATTAAAATTTAGCGATTTTAGTACCATTCAATCCGTCTCGAAGAGACAATTCGAATGGTATCAAAATCGTTAAATTTCGTTTACTGTATCGTGAGATATAGTAAAATTTGCTAAAATAGGGCCCCTATATGTAATCATTTTACATATTTGGGCCCTTATTTGTAAATTCCCCTAAAAAGAACTTTACAAAAAATGATTTTCGAATATTTTAATTGGTTTTCGGGATTTTTTCCAAAAAGATTAATTATAATAATCTTTTGCGTGACTGGTATTATCATTAGTTATGCAGGTAGTTTGTTAGATTAATTTTGACCGTTAATGTTTTAATGTTTAAATATTAAAATGGTTAAAAAATTTTTTTTAAAAGGATCGATCAAACATGGTTATTGCAATAGTCTATATGACATTAGAATTTGATTTTACATCATCGGTTCAAGGTGTTATACTACATTTTTTTGGGGGTTATCTAACAACACAAGTTTTAGGTGGTGCATCTGCCGATTAAGTGCTTGTAAGTAAAGACTATATTTTAATGTATGCAAGTTTTGCATTAGCTCAAGAAATGTTGACGTTAATTTTTTTAATAATTCTTTTTATGACGTAATAATATATAATAATTAACAGATTTTTATATAAATATGCTTAGCTGCCGCTTCATGGACTCTCTTTACTTTTCTTACTTCAATTTCTGCTAAAGTTGGTTTAGGATATCTTTTATTATGTCAATATTTTTGGGTATCGGTGAAGGTGCTTGTTTTCCTACTGTAAATTCCTTGATTTCTGCATGGTTTCCAAGGGAGGAAACTAGTAAAGCTGTTTCTACTATCACATGTAAGTATATTGCCCCGAAGCATAGTATATTACAATATTTATAATTTATTATATGAAGTTTTTCGAATAAAATTTTATTATTAATTAGTTATTTAGCCTCTGCTTATATAGGAATTGTAATTGCCTTGCTGATATCAACTTGGTTAGGATCAGGTCCTCTTGGATGGCCCGGCATTTTTTTGGACATTTGGAACTGCTGGTTTGATTTGGTCCATTTTATGGCAAATTTATGGTAGAAGTAATCCAAATGAATATTCGGGAATAAGTCAAGAGATTTAATTTTAACAAGCAACAAAAGAATAATGTTAAAATTAATTTGAATTATCATAGAGTAGAATCTGGTGATATTGTTAATGAATCAATGATAAGCGAGAATAATGATACAAATCCTAATACACCATCAGAAATTTTTGTTATCGAAGAAAATAGTGAGGTTAATGAATTATTAACAAATAATTTGAAATTACCAAATTTAAAACAAGTTCCATGGAAATTGATTCTTTCTCGTCGTGAAGTGTGGGCTATACTCATTACTTAATTTTGCAATTCATTTGGTAACTTTATCATACTTAATTGGTTGCCAACTTATTTTCTGGATCATTTTAAGATGGACCTTAAGAGTCTTGGATATTATTCTAGTAAGAATTTAATTTCACAATACATTATAATATTAATATAACTCATTAAATTAATAAATTTATAAAAATTTTTAAGTGCTTCCTTATGCCACACAAGGAGTCACTGGTATTTTTGCTGGTATTATGAGTGATTA